TGTCGCTGCAGGCCGCAGCGCCTGGGGGGCGCGCCTCGATAATTAATTAGCCAATATTAATTTGCTTTAGATGTCATTAATAAGCTTAAGTCCAATATGAACATTGATCAGTGCTTCGTAGTTCAAACCTTGATAATAAGGGGCTTGTTTGGGTGGTAAAAAAGGAGAAAGCTGCCAAAAATGACAGCTTTTTGGCAGCTTTCCAACAAAATCACCTTTTTAAGGGGTGATTTTGGGGGAAAGCTATCAAAAAACTGACATTTTTGACAGTTTTCCCATTTTTACCACAAAAAAAAGGAACCAAACAGCCCCTAATACATCCTATGGTAAGCCTAGAACTCCGTTTTGAGGAAGACATTCTCATTTGTGTTGTTCACTTATGAATATGAAATCTTATCATCTTCGTCTTTTTAAGACTTCCCCCCCAATGTGTGCTCTTTTTCTGGATATGCTTATTAAACAATTCCTCTTTTTCTGTGATCGTCTGGCTAGTCCATAATTCCTTACGTAAGAATTTGATGCATACTCAGCGGGTTAACGCCAATTTGTAAAAAAATTCTAAGGAGCCTTCTAAAAAATAGAGTTGACTTCTAAAAATAGAGTTGAGGTAAGGAAGTATATTTGAATCCTAATAAAACAAAATCCAGAGTTTTCTTGGCAAAGGAATTGATGCTATTCAAAGGGTTTTCACCGTATAGAGATGGCAATAAAGCTCCATTACCGGATGATCCAAATATAACCCATATTTTTGGATTTGGGTCCTTAAAATTGGATCTTCAGAATGAAAACAAGATTCAACAAGTTCTGAAATCAATATTCTCAAGTGCATTCCCGTCGTTATCTGTTTGGTTTCCATAAATTTAAAATCCATTCACAAGTGGATATTGTAAGATGTAATCCACCGATACATTCTCATCCCTACCGTTATATGAAAGTTTTTAGTGAAGCATGTTGGATTTAATCTAATAAATCTATTTGTGGGCATATATGATTAATCAATGTGTATTGCTATCTTTCAAGATAACACACTAAAGTGATCAATTAATTTGGGTTAATGGGTATTTAAATAAATCATGGGGTTATATGTGCAGATACCAGGTTGTAATTGTGATTTGTTGAGGGCCCAAATTACAAATTTACAACATCTATAGATAAGGGGTTATGGTCCTTAATCTAGGGTTACATTCTCTAATTCTCTTCACCCACATCTAGAGAGAAATTCGGCTATAGAGAAACCCTAAGGTTAGAAGATCCAAAACCCATCTCATGTTTCATCTATGGATTCAGGTATAAGCTTCCGCTCTTTTGATTATTGTTAATCTCTTCGAATTAATCATGGCTTTATGGTTTTAGATCTCAAGTTTTTATTAGATCTAACAAAGCCTTCTAAAAATAAGGTCACGCCTCATGCCAAGCAATGTTTCGGAAGGCGCAAGGCTAGTTTGAGCCAGCGCCTAGCCGTTTGACTATTTTATAAATTATTTCATTATACTCATTGACAAAACATGTATTTAAATCATATAAAATTGTACAAAAAAGAATAAATAGCAATCTTAGATCCACAATCAACCATGCATAAATACCAAATAGCCAAAATAGTAACATATATAACATGAAGATTTGTTTCAATTAAACCGCAAAACAAGAAGATTTTGGTTGTAAAGAGGTTCAATTTGTGTTTTGATTATATTTATTTACTAATCACAGTGGAAAAAAAATTAAAACAGTGAAAAAATATTAAAAACGGTGAAAAAATGAAAATTATACCTTGAAAAGAAAAGAGCGGGGTTGCAGTGAAAGATATGGTGGCCGGTAGCCGGCGGCGAAGAAGAGAAGGCGGCGGAACCGTGACGACGAAGAAGATGGGGATGAAAAAAAATCGGGACTCGGAAGAAAGCAAAAGGGTATTACGTCGTTAGGGTTTGGTTTTTATTCTGTAGCGGGTTGGGTCTAGTGGATCGGGTCACATCAGCTTAAAATATTACCGTAGCACACGTGAATACTGTAGCATGTTTAAAAAAGCATTGTAGCAGAGGCGGAATACTATAGCAGTTAAATTTTTTTTAAAAAAACTATTACTATAGCTGGGGGAAATGATATGTCGTGCTTTGCACGATGTTCACACTATTTTTATCTAAAACCAAAAGAAAAGAAAAAAAAATCATGTGACGCATCTAGAATAATTTCTCTCAAATTTAAAAATAATTTAAAACATAGTTAAAGAGAATAATACTTTCATATGAGTTCAAATTAAGAATCTTAATTAAAAAATCAAACAAAGTTATAGTATAATAATAAAATAAAATCGCAAAAATGTACATGTATAACTCATTGTCTCACTATCTCTTTGATCTTGAATTATAGTCTGTTTATTTAGACAACTATAGTTGAAATCAAATAAAACTGTAAAAATAAATCACAACATAAGCAAAGCAATTTTCAAGACATTACCTAGAATTTTAAAAATCTTTAATCTTGAATTCGAGTTTACTTATTCAGATAACCACATTTTAAATCCAATATACCTAGAATTCTAAAAATCTTTAATCTTGAATTCGAGGTTATTCAGATAAACATAGTTTAAATCTAATTTAACTTTAAAAATAGTTAAAAATCAAAGAGAAAAATAATCGTGCAACCAACCTGAATAATTTTAACAAAATTATTGCTGAAATCCAGCTTCTATATATTGCAATTTCCTACACAAAGAGATTAAAGTAGAGGTTAAATAAGATTCATCTATCACCAAAAAAAATATCTTACCAAAAAATGAAATTACCGATCATTTCCCTTTCCCTTGTTTAGTTTGAATCCAACTTTATCTTATTTTGGGAAACTGAATGGCCTATCTGTTTTATTTTACATAATTATGGAATGAACCAGGATAAAAAAATCGATAAAGAAATATTTTTATAGATATTATCAAATACATATAAGGAAATTGATAAAAAAAATTTCAAATAATAGCAAGAAAATTAAGAGGGAGTTTTTGAGATTGTTGTGTAATGGAGATTGTGGAGATTGTTATGGAATATGATTCTGCATAGATTTTGTTGTTACAATTATTATTATTAGTATTTATTGCTGTAATTTTGTGGGATTTAAAAAATATTAAGGAGATTGATGGATGAGATTAAAGACACATGACAAATAAATTAGAGAATAGGGATGCTGACATGTCAATCTCTAGAAGGTTTTGAGGAGAAATTTCTCTTCCCTTCCCTTCTCGTTATTACACTTTCCAAACGGGGTAAAATAACTTCCCCTTGATTCACCTTACTTGTTTCCCAAACAAGTTTTAGAAATTCCCTTCCCTTCCCTTAACTTAACTTCTCCTAGAGCCTGTTTGGATTTGTAGGGGGTGAAGGGAAGTTAAGAGAAACTAGGTGAGAGAATGGAAGGGAAGGGAAGAGAGTTCTCTTCCCCTTGGTTAGAGCATCTCCAACAACTTCTTTAAAATTTTCTCCAAAATGGGGAAGCAAAAGTCATATTCTCCAACTAATTTTTACACCAACTCCAACAGCTTCCCCATTTTGAAGAATCAAAATTTTCCTCTAAAAATTTGGAGAATGCTGCAGATTTGGGGAAGCTTCCCTATTTTTTCTTCTCCATCCATATTTTGGGGAATGAGATGGGGAATCTGTTGGGCCAAAAACCTAACTAAATTTTCCAAAAGTGAGAAATGGGGAAGCTGTTGGAGATGCTCTTACACCCTAATTTAGGGGGTAACAAATTTTATACTATTAGGGGTGAACCAAGGGGAGTTAGGGTGAATAACTTCACCTCCTAAATGTTCCCAAACAAGGTGAATGGAGGTGAATGGTTCTCCTAACTTCCCTTCATCCTTATTCCCCTCAATCCAAACAAGCCCCTAGGTTTCTCTAACTTCCCTTCACCCCCTCCAAATCCAAACAAGCCCTTACGTTATACGTATAGCAATAGGTACGTATTTGATATAACTCGCGGGCTTCGAAGGAAGCCTCCGAAATATTGATATTTTTAGGAACTAAATTGGAAAATTATAATTTTCTCACACGCATAACACGTGCAGAACTAAAACATCAAATAAACTCCGAAACGGGCGGGTGTAGGACAGGACCACATCGGATCCGACCCGTCTGCAGATTTTTCTTGTAGCCCAAGATTACCGCCATAAAGCCACCGCGTGTCGTTCATCACGTCGGCGAGAATTCTAGAAGCCCTTCCGATCCTCACCTTCATCTCGTCTATAATAAACACCGCCTCCTCTTCCTCTTTCATTCCTCATCGATCGTTGTGAGCGCTGCGATCATTTGGAAATCCTAATTCGAGCGTTTCAGTTCTCGGTCTCTCTAATCGCCAGCAAAATGCCTCGCCGCAGCTCTGGAGGTAATTTCCTTCTCCATTAACAGAGCATGGTTATATTAATTATTAGGTTTAATACAAATTGAGACGGAAAATTTCTATCTTGTCCGAAGTTTATCGCACGGTGTTGTGTGTATGTTGTTGTCTGCTGTAATTTTGTGATCTCTGGAAAGGAATCCAAGCTACAATTAAATGTTGGGACACATAATCTAACAGCCCTTTTGGGCCAGGTTTTGTCTTCATAGTCCTTTTATCATCGACTACACGTGTGGTAGGCGGACCGAATGATGTTTGTTCAGTTTATTCATTTTCAGTTGTAGATTAAAACTGAAAACAGGGAATCAAAGTGTTTTCTTTTTCAGCTAGGTGTTTTCGGTTTGGTGGCTGCCTGTTATCCGGCGTAAATAACCTTTTTGAAATCTAGGTGCAAGTCAACAATGAGGATTGTGGGATATGAGTCGTACCATGAGATTCAACAACTACGATTCGATGTATATTGACCGAATACATAGATTATATTGATTTTCCTACATAGCGCAATAAACAGACGGCTCTTTGGGAAAAGTTTGCTCCTATATTGTGATGTGTTGATGTGTTGGAAATGTGTGTTTAGATGGTATAGGGCATAGTTACCACCTATCAGGACATATGAACGAGACAGTTCTTCATTTCTAACCCTTGGCAGTTGGTTCTTGATTATAACATAGTCCAAAGGTGTAAGTAAATAGATCCTGGTAATTATTAACTAGCATAAAAACATGTGAAATTGGTTTTTAGTGGTTAAGAAGCTAAAAAACTTAGAAAAATAGCACCAATATGATTTCTTTCAGAATTATTTATGTAAAAATCATTGAACAGTTATTTGTGCTTACTTGAAATATATATAAATATTTAGAAGTTGTTGAATGAGTAACATAAAGTAAATATTATATAAAAACAATAGGAATTGTTTCTATAAGAAGAACAATAATTATTTCTATAGGCAGAATAAAATCTGCTTCTATGTGTGACTAAATAATGTTCTTTCTATTTTTTTTGAGTTATACGCTGCAATAACCTTTTGGTAGGAAACTGATTTCTTATATTGCATAGAAATATGTAATTTTCTTGAACAATATAGTGTAACCTTATATATATATATATATATATATATATATATATACATATATATATACATACATATATACATACATGTATATATGTATATATATTATATGTATATATGTATATGTATATATGTATATATATGTGTACATATGTGTACACATATGTGTATACAGATATCTCTGTGTATACACATATGTGTATACACATATGTATATATACATATGTATACATATGTGTATACACATATGTACACACATGTATACACATATGTACACACATGTATACACATATGTGTATACATATGTGTATACCCATATGTATATATACATATGTATACATATGTGTATACACATATGTACACACATGTATACACATATGTGTATACATATGTGTATACCCATATGTATATATACATATGTACCCATATGTATACACATATGTACACATATGTACACGCATCTGTACACATATGTATACGTATACGTATACGTATGTATACACATATGTACACACATCTGTACACATATGTACACGCATCTGTACACATATGTATACGTATACGTATACTTATGCATATATGTATACTATACGTATGCGTATACGTATACATATACCTATACGTATGCGTATGCGTATGCGTGTGTGTATAAATATATATATATATATATATATATATATATATATATATTATATATATATATATATATATATATATATATATAGGCCGACGCCTGGGAATAAGCCCACCATGAGCCCGCGGGGCATGGTTGGGGACAACCCAGGGCCGGGGGGACAAGCCATCCTCCCGGGCTCTTGTCTCCCTCAACTGTAATTATCTTTAATTTTTGAAGTGGAGTCTTTATAAGAGTAGCCTTTATGTCAAAAATTGTTAAGGGAGTTTCTATTTGTAAAAGAGCTCTAATGAATACGCCAATAACAACTAGCTTCATAAAAAGATTGTCGCTAGCGCCAACTCCTTTTATTTGCCATCAGCATTTACATTCCTCCTATCCCATCTCTGTTTCGCTCACAAAAAGGAAAAAAAAAGAAAGAGAGAAAACGGCAGCTCCTTGCCTTCTATTGAGCCTCCGACGGTCGGCGACCTTATTCTGCTCCCATGCGGACCTGTTGCTTCAGGCTTGCACTCCGCTGTCTCTGATAACCCCAATCAGGTAATTTTTTTTAACTAAATAACATTTAGGGGTTTTTTTGGAAGCAAGAAATTTGGGGTTTTGATGTTTTGCAATGAAATGCAAGATTTCTGATTTTGAATCTTGCTGAAATCTTTGTTGTTGAAATTGAATTAGGGGTTATGATGTTTTGGAATGGGTTGAACTTATCGAATTTTGTTAACTATCTGCTGTTATGGCGGTTGCCTCGGCGGAGAGAAATTTTTCCAAAATTAAAATTGATAAAAAGTTATGCTTGCGCACTATGCAATGTCAATAGGAAGATTGAATGGACTGACAATTGATGTCAATTAAAAATGAATAGCTTGGAGATAACTTGAGTATGAATGACTTAATTGAAGGAATCGCTTTAAAAATCAAAGGAGAACGTATTTTCTTTGAATTAAATTGTAGCACAAATGTAATCTCTTCTATATGAATATTGATTTTGCATGAGAATATTATCAGTTTTTGAGCCCAATATAGAACGCGTAAATGTATTATATGTATTCATTTTTATCGTTATTTATTCGTACCAAATTTTGTTTAATATAGGGCAACCAAAATTGGATTGGGCTAGGACAACGCCAAAGCTCGGGCTAGTCATATATATATATATATATATATATATATATAATATATATATATATATTATATAAAACGGGTATGTTTGGTACCAAGACAAGTTTTTGTTCTTGGTAGCCCTCCACTCATTGAAATCGGGGTCCACATTCACATGAGTTGGGGAGTGGTTGAGAATTGGAATGAGTGGATGAGAATATGACACCTCACTGTGAAGCACAAAATTTGTGCTTGGTACCAAACATACCCATTTTTCTCATACACACACACAGAGAATATAATTTGTGTATATTCACTCGTACTATGTGCATGCGTATGGCATGTGTCCAATGTTTTTTTTGTTTGTTGAATTTGCATCATATGTTTGATGTCTTTGAGATTGTGAATCCTTTGTCCATGTTATAAACGTGTTCGGTTGGACTTTGAGATTACTTGTCCTGTGTTCATGTCATATAGGTATTCTGTTTTGGTGTTTTGCATTGATATCTATGGATGTTGAAGGGATAACTAACAGTCCGACGCTATAGGCGTGTAGCTGCCTTACTGTTATGCAGTTAGTTCATGCAAGCAAAAGTAGTCTGCCAAAGTTCTCCTAAATATGGACAGAGTTAAAAAAGAAGCATGATATGAACCAAGCAAGCCAAAAATAAAGCAACATTTACAAGACAATTAACAATGGTAATATTGTTCCCCTTTGCCTGCTTGTTGCAACAGTCACAGAACTTGTGTCCTCTGCCTGTTAACAAATCAGACACAATAGGGTGCAGGTGCCTCCTCACCCCCTCCAGGTACCTCTAGCACTATCCATCACTGTCAGACTTGGAATAAGAGTTTTCACTGCTGGAGCTCCATAATGTTGAAGGGTGAAAAACTAGATCTTATAGCATTGTACATGTACATTGATTTGTATAGTTTGCATTTTGTGTAGTAGGCAGCGTTAACATTATTACAGAATATGGTAGATTTTTAAAATGAAAGTGACATGTTTTCTTGAGCTAAATGTGCTCAGACTTATCCCTGGATATGCGCACACACCCATGAGATCACGCATCTTCACGAAAACATCGAGCTTTAGTGGCTTTGTCAAAATATCTGCGATTTGCTCTTGAGTGGAACACTGCACCAATTCAACAACTTCATCTTTGATGAGATTTCGAAGAAAATGAAAATACACATCGATATGTTTGCTGCAACCATGCATAACTGGATTTTTTTACAGTTTAATGGCTGAGGTTGTTGCAGTGAACCACCGTCGGTTTGCTTTGAACATGATTAAGCTGCTCCAAAATCCTTCTTAGCCACACAGCTTGGCAAGCACTAGAAGCAGCAGCGACGAACTCAGCCTCTGTAGTCGAAAGAGTGACAACCGGCTGTTTCTTTGAAGACCAAGAAACTGAACCCGAACTTAAATAAAGACGTAACCTGAAGTGCTCTTTCGATCATTTCCCATCATTTCCGAACTTAAAATAAAAACGTAACATGATTTGATGGATGGTTTGCAACTTTCTTTCCTTTAAGAATGTCTTGGTTCTTCGGGCTCCATTCAAAGGTCAAGGAGTCCAGTTATGTCCTGAGTAAGATCCACAATGGACTGTTCATTTTCATTTGTAACCTGAATCTCCTTTTGCGCGAAAGACTGACTACGAAAGCCCATACGAGTCTTGTGAATATTCGGTTGGCCATATAAAATTGTGTTATTAATGCCTCATTCTGGAGGAATGGAGTTCTATGTAGGTTGTAGTCATGTTTTTTTTCCCTCTTAATCCAGTTAGCTTATATAAAGGTGAGATCAGTGTAGTTTTTCAAGAATTGGCTAAGAGATCAAAAAATGGTAAGAGAATGAAAATCTCAAAAGTATGTGTGCTTTGAGACTTGGAATAAACAACTCACAGGTTCAATTTGCGCATGCATGAAGCTTAACCTTTTAGTTGTTAATTACAAGTCTATAAGCATGTAGCATTTTGTAAATTTAATTCTCTTTTTATTTTGATCTCCTGGCCAATTCTTCGAAATTTATTTTGATTGCACCTTCTACAAGCATAATGTTATTTAAGACATGATTATGACTTCCAAAGTAACAATATAGTGTAGCCTTATTT